CATCGAACATTGTAATAATGCATACATTAGAAAAATTAGCTACACGTAGAAGTTTTACATTGTTTCCAAATAGGATATATCACTTAAAGATTATGGGAAAGCCTGGAAATATTTTTCAATTTTCAGGGATCTTCAGGATAGAGACGAAGGGCGTTTCCTTGGTCACAGTGTTTATGGGCTTGTTTTAACTCTGCAGAGGGCATACAATGCTTTAGCATCCGTCGAGAAACGGTATACTGATATTACTTTATAATTATTTCTTAGTTTATGTATATAGGACAAATTAATGGGGTGAATGCAGCCAACGAATGAGATTTTGTTCTTTCCACGAGCTACCAGTAATTCCATAATTCCATATCTTTTCGAAACAATTTGATCTGTTTCTTATATGGAAGTTTAGTTTATAGTGACGTGGTTACAATGCGTAATCCTTTGAATGCCAGTAAAATATATCAACATTTTGTTGTCTTTCCACTCCGTTCCACCCACCACCAACGGCCGAGTGTATCAAAGCGGAATCACGGATATCCACCGTATATCATTGTAAAAACGCCTAAAAACGCAGTTGAACTAAAAGATTTAAATGCACTGATGCATTAATTTCATCAATCGTAGATTGTCATTCATCTATACGCAAAATGACAAATAATAACTCTTTTCATTGGCGTACGGAAGACGATAATTGGGGGGGGGGTTATATTCATTATTATATTAATGTTGTGCAAGATTAATTTCTTTTCAAATCCATTGTCTTTACAGGTCTGTTAACAAGAATATGTGAATATGTGCCCCCCTCCCAATTTTTTTCTCCCGTACGCCACTGACTCTTTCATTTTATTAATAGAATGCCTGCTTGGTTTAATCAAAGACAGTTTGCACAGTTGAAAATTAGTTTCTTTCAACTAACGATATCTTTAGAAAGAATTGAAAGGTATATTAATATCAAGCCATTTTCAAATTTAGCCCCCCTCCCCCATAAAAGAAATGTCCTTACGCCTATGCCCACGTTCTTTTTAATACCGTCATGTTCATATTTTGTTCTTTTCATTATAGTGCCACAATGCGACTAAAAAAGTTAACAAAGCTGGTCGACAACACGTTTTTTAAATTTTATAATGACGACACAATTAATGAATGGATATGGGACAAAATTAAAAATAAACTGTCGCGTGCTGAAGAGCTAAAACAGCATTTGATGAAAATCCGTACGGCTGCACGCGAAGCTGAACAACGAGTATTAAAACCTGATACTAATCAGGTCGTTAAACGAGAATGACAATCCTAATCGCTTAGTTTATAAATAAATTTAGTAATTATTACAGGGGCTAGTAAGCATGTACGTGCATGGTTACTTGCAACTGTCAATTCTATGTATTTATTTGCCAACGAAGACCATAGCTGGAGACTGATATTGCTAACAGGTTCATGTTTACCTTACGTGAGGTTAGAGAGGAACAACATCCACTCGGCACAATAACAATAAAACAAACGTGTTTTTTCTAGTTTTCGTGATACTGGCTGGTAACTTTTAATTAAATGCAATTAAATCATTTGGATATGGTTACAATTTGGTTTCCCACAACAGAACTTATGTTCGATTAGTTGTTCGCTGGGGGACCAGTGTGGACCAGTGTGTGTACTATCCTGGTTAGTCGGAATGAATAAAGGTGGTTTGAATAGCCAGCAACATTCCATCATAATCAAATTAATTTTAATGTAATAAATATATCTAGTTATGTTAGTTACGTAGGACTTTGTCTATTACAACTATTTCCAAATCAACCGTTCGTTCTATCTCGCACTTCTCCTGACGCTTAACTGATTAGCAGTCACTCGTACTACAGTATCTTTTATTAACTTAATAACTAACATAACTAGATATATTTATTACATCAAAATTAATTTGATTATGATGGAATGTTGCTGGCTATTCAAACCAAAAGGGACATTCAACATACCCTGACTTGGCTCGTTTCCTACCTCGGACGGTCGCTGGATTATTTCGAAATGTGTGCGCCGGGTCTCCGAGTTGCTCTAGTTGCTGGGCCCGTTCTACAGGCCCTCTTGACTCGTGAAGTATTTAATTCCAGCCTCGTTCCCAGGCTCTTGGAAGTATTTCGCGGTACTGCACTGAGCGCGCGGGGGTGCTTGGGAATTCGCGTCTCCAGCTGCAAATTCCCAACCTCCCCAAGCACCCCCGCGCGCTCAGTGCTGTATCCGCGAAATACTTCCAAGAGCCTGGGAACGAGGCTGAACGATAGTATAGAATAACTTGTAACATTTGTGTAAGCGTAGTCTCGCTTTATGCTCTCAAGAGAACATCTCTTCAAACTTTTGATTGTGTCGACGAATTTCTATGTGAAACAAATTATATTATATAAAAATTACATTAGTGTTTTCAGTATTTTATACTAACTCACACGGCAACAGATCATATACGGATACTCGCGCTAAAAATACAGACAACATTTGTTGAAGATGAGTTTTACCTCAATGAGCATAACATATCGCTCACACTCCACTCATGCTCACACTTCAACTCTTCTTGAGTACACCTTACTGGAATGGCTCTCAAGTGTTAGTGTAAGTAAGCTTTCAGAATACAGCCGTTAGTGTTTATATAGTAATATTACTTATTGTAGTAGACCACGTTTAAACTAGCATAGGCTAACAGTGGATCTTGTTCAATTACAACACTATTCTAAAATAAATCCTTAAGGAGCATGCACGCACAAAAAACACCTCCCCCCTTCCGATTTTGTTAATAATCAACTTTAGCTTCGGGGTCTTCTCGCAACCCGCGATAATTGGTATTATTTCCGACTTTTCCTTGAGTGCAGCCGTACTGGTCTTTGGATCGCGATTTTAGGAGAACGTCTTAAAAATTTTAAGCACTATGGGCAATTTTCTCAATACAGTCATCTTACTCGCAATTTGTGTGTGTTCAAATGTGGTAAGTTTATAAATTAAGTAAATGCTTTGCATGTATGCGCTTATTTAAATATGTTTATCGGCTTTAATTAATTGTAGGATCTACTTGCCGGCGTCTGTTTTGGCTTGACTGGATTAGACGTCTGTTTTGGTTTGACTGGATTGCTAATCTTATCATTTTGTATTTCATAATTTGTCGAAGATTAGAAAATAAAATATGGCTGTACTCTTACATGCATGCGAAAGGCTAGGGGTCAGTGTGAGCGCATGGAATTTGAATTATTTGACCGCGTGTGAAACCCAAGAAGCCGTCCGAAATCAATCTACAATCATAAATTTGTTTATTAATATACTCGCCTTTATAATGAATCTAGACCTTAGAGCGGTACCAAACATGGCCTATAATGGTAGTCGATGTCCATTTCAGTTGTCGTGTGTGAACAGATATGCTCCGCTTTTGAGACCAAACGACTATAGCTCTTGAACGGTATATTCACTATATTGTGGTTTATCAGTGTTCCATCCATAGTCGATCCGAAATTTTCTCACTACATTTATTAATTTTCGTTTCTGTTGCTGTGAATTTAAATTCAAAATATAGCGACCATGAAACTAATTTCGGTATGCTCTTTTTAGCTGTAGTGATTTATTTTCTGCTTATCACCTAGATTATTATCTAGGTGACAAGAGGGAAATTCCCCCAGCTAAAAAGAGCATACTGAAATTAGTATAATTGCCAAGTTTGGCCGCAAAATGTCAAGTACAATCGAACCTCGATGCAGTCGATGCGGCCACCCTCGGGGATAGGCACTGTGGTCGCTTAATAGAGGTGGCCGCTAAATAGAGGTACGCAAATAATCGACTCTGGACGTAGAAAAAAATCTATTCTTAATTATAAATCACGGAATATAATAGTGAATAGACTTTAGAAATATCAGGCAGTAGGTAATAAAGAATTTTCAGGGAGTAAATAAAAGTGGAGGCTATGGGTTGGAAATTCCATGCGAATTTCATTTTACAGGAGATGAATTTGAGATTAATTTGGTAAAGGAAAAGGTTAAAAAGGAGGGATTTAACGCGAAACAATGCCGCCATGCAAACAATGCTTTTGAGGTGTAAAGTGGCATGTGTTATGACATAAGTTTTAAGCATCATATTACAAATAAAGGAAATTAGCTCGACTTTTAGCTGTCGACTCTCCACAATTACCTAGACTTAATCCTGCAGGCTGGCCGCTTATTAAAAGTTAAAATTGATATAAAACATGATTTGGGACTGCTCTTTGGGTGGCCGCGGCCCCTTAATAGAGGTGGCCGTTTAATAGAGGGATAGTTAATAGTATTTGTATTACAAAAATTTCGGGACTTCGATATATGGCCGTTCAATAGAAGGTGGCCGCGTAATGGAGGGCCGCTTAATAGAGGTTCGACTGTAATACGGAAAATATAGCAATGCAAAGTAGCCAATTTTGTATACTTTTTTTACCAATTTTGTATACTTTTTTACTACGGCCGGAAGCGTTTAACTAATTTAGTTACACACCTCTGCACTTTTCGGAAATTTCCTTTTTGTCGCCTAAATCAAAAGTTGGTCTATTATGCAAAAGGTCCTCGGTCGATCTGTACTCGAGCTTTCCAAAAAAATGCCAAAAACCAAAGTGGATAAAGTATGTCGGGAATGTATTTTGACTGTCGATTTGTAGATGATAGACAAGTACAGTACAAAGCCATAGCCATCGGCATAGTTATAGACTACATGTACGATGTATAAACGGACGTGGTGACGCATACACGTTGTTCAGAAAACACTATAGCCATAGGCGTAGTATACATGCGTCAATACAGAAGCATCGTTTCACAAATATCTGCGCCTCTTGCTTTGATGCAAATACGCGATGACACTACGACGTCCATGTAGCTACTATTGACAAATCCAGATTAGCTCAGGCAGGATTTTTTCACTAATTCTCAATTAACAATTATAATGATTATAGGAGGCAGAGAATTTTGGTGATTCTATTTCAAATGCCAATCATACCGATAAGTGCTTCAAACACCGACTTTCAAACTTTCCATGTTCAAGCACGGTAAGTTAATTTCCTACTTGTCTCCAACTTTGTATTAGCTTTTGAACGGAGTGATATTACATTCAAGTGGTGTTGCGTGGATGCAATGCCATCTGTTACGATAAGGCTTAATTGCGTTTAGTTATATGCATGTTAAAAAAGTAGAAGATATCACCTGGCATGAAGTGGATAAGTAATTGATGTTTGACATTTTGTGAGATAGATGTATTAATGTAGTACATGTGAGTACATCAATCACTCTCGCAATTATCGCTTCTCTGGTTTAATTAATGAAAGTAATCTCCACACAAATATTACATTCACAACGCAGCGTTTTGACACTCCAGACTAGTGTTTTCATCGGGGGCAATCTGATGTTAAAACTCTGAGCCTTATATACTCTCAGCATGACGTCATCTATCAATCAGATGTAAATATTCTTTTAGCAAATAGCTTCCGTCGTCCCTATTTAGGGCACAAGACTCGCATTAATATGTCAGGCTTCCAAACAACGCCTTTGTCCATAACGATCGTTAGTGGTAATGCATTCAGAGTCGTTCTACGCAATGTTATATATAGTTTGTTTGACACACATGTTCCGCCAAGGTTGATTTTGAACTATCTAAGTTCGAAACGGCCTTGAAACGTGTGCCTAACCGACGTTTTGTTTCGCCTAGATCATTCTTTTACAATCACCACATGGTTTAGAGCATGCAGCATGAGTTTTCTGTTTAGTCGCTACCCGATCCTTGGGTTTGCCGAAAATATGTCCCAATGACAATGTCTGAAAGGGTTTTAAGGCAATTTGATACCACATTTATTCAGGATCCTCCTGATTATTTCCGCAACTCCTTGAATGTAGGGGACAACTGCAAAGCCCGTTTTTGAGGAATCACCCGCTGAGGAATTATATTTAGTTGCTGCAAAAGCTTTAAAACATCATTTGCAAAGTTTCGTGGGTAATTGTTCGCCATTGAAGACATAATCACGCTCGTTGTCCCTGGCAACGCGATTAGATGTTAACGATTCAGCTCTTTGAAAGTTTTTGCAACAGACTTAGAGTTTCACCTCTAATAAATTCCGAGAGATGAGAGGAGATTTTTGCTGTGTAGACAGTATTCTCAACACTCAGAGACAATATTCCAGCCAAATACCTCGAAAGATTATAAGTCGGAGAATTGCCAAAGGACACGATAGGTCGTAAAAGGATTCCCGACTCATAAAACTTCGGCAAGGCATAGAATCGGGACATCCGAGATAACTTATCACTACTACGCAACAATTTGTACGTGACCTCGATAATTTTGTTGGCTTTCTTTAAGAGTAATAGGCGTTTGTTCAATTCTCCTTCAGTCTTACCATTTTAATCAGGACACTATGGGTTTTTTGTCATTGATTTTTGTCCAGCCTTTTGCTTTCCATCTCCGTTAGCTCCTTAGTAGAGAGAAGTCTGGTGGCTTGTGTCCCAACAAACGTAACTTTTTGTCATGTTTCTCTTTCTGTTTGAGGAATAGTATGCGCTCCTTAGAACGACAAAACTCTTCACCCTGACATAACTTGCATGTCTGGATCAACAGTCGTCTATCAAGTTTAACTGCCGCAGTCAAAAATATGCATGCTGTATAGGCGGGTGCAAGCTCTTATATTTATCTACTCAAATGCTATTATACTATGTGAAGCAGTAAGGAGTAAGTGAGTACTAAGAAAGAGAGTGGACTCACGGAGTAAAAATCGTGTGAACGTTAATTGAAAGAAGCTCAAAACACTACAAGAACAGACGAAGCCTTACACGACAAAAAGTTAGCGAATATCCGAGGCAAGAACCGATACAGAAGCAAACATTAACGAGCATTAATAAGTTCATTCGTTTTATGAACATTATAAAGACATAATTAAGAATTAAAAAACGAATGGGGGAATGTTGGGAGAATACGAGAGAAGCTTGTAAAACACGAGGCGTAGCCAAGTGTTTTACAAGCTTCTCGAGTATTCTTCCAACATTTCCCCGAGTGCATTATTACACCATAAAGGCACGCGACGAGCTTTTTTAATTCTTTTATAATATAAGAAGAAATTATAGGGCAACAACAAAATTTATTTATTTGATCAATAATGAAGTTCTCCTTACATGTTATTTAAGATGTTGCTTAGCAACAAAATCTTCAAAAGCCAGAAGGTAGCCAATCAAATTGCTCGTTATATCATACTTATATTATAAATACAGTTTATAACCTAATGGTACCTAGTAATCTTGCGCTTAATTTTCAGCCAAACAGCACTCAGAACTGAAGTTTGTCAAATTAGAAATCGATTTTACATTGCATAACCAATCTTATTATTCTTTATGAACCAGCTGTTGAAATTTTGTGATTATGTTTAGTTAAATTATAGCTCTAACATATATTTAAAAGTTTATTTTATGATACTAAGTTTTATGAACTGAAAAATTTATTTTTCACACCTAATCCTAGTTCTTACCGGCTATTTCAGATTACTATGTTTACATCTGGATAAAGTGACAAAACTGTGGTGGGAAAATTGGGATGCATGAGTTTTGCTGATTACATTGTATTATTTATAGTGATAGTCTTAATTAAGACTTAATCTCTTATTCTGACGCATTTTCCATTTGGACTAAGGGAAAAATCATTGGAATCGAGTTATATTGAATTCCGTTTGTCAAACTTCTGTTGTAAATCCATCCTGTTTACAGTCTGTTTTTCCGACAGAATAGATAGTGTATATGTTTATAATACATGCATGCATCTCCAGAGTTTTTGTTCATTCATTCCTTTAATATTTTTCTAGATTATGGGAAACCTTCTCCTTATTGTTTTCTATGGTGTAATATTGATTGTTGCTGCAAAATTGATTTCAGGTACTTATTTTGTACTATAAATGGAGTAAATAATGCTTAAAAATAATTAATTAGGAATAAAGGAGTTTTTATGCATTTCATTTAGAACAGATTATCTCAATTGTTTTGGGTAAAATAACCATGGCGGTCAACATGGCATATGTGCCAAAATCTGAATCCGGGACGAAAGTCCTGAAAATGACCACACCCAGAAATGGCATCCTCGACATAGCTCTAAATCTTGAATTATCAAAGCTACAGTCTTTCTGAATTGTTTATATGGTTCAGAATGGTTGCTTTTAGGGGTGGTCATTGGAGGGGGAAATTAGCCGAAGTTTCATAGTCAACTGCTAATTATACATAAAATTACAGACTCACCTGGCAAAGTTTAATTTTCTAAATTCCAATCATTGCGCAGTGTTTTGGTATAATCTATACTTCTGTAATTCTTCATAAAGGTCTTATGAATTTAAAAATTAGACCAGACTGACCAGTAAGGTGAAGTTTGATTTGAATTCTACAAGTCATCAGATTTCAAGGTCAAACCTGAATACATTGTAGGGTGGAGAATTGGGGTGAGAATAAAAAGGTGAGACGGGTTGGGGGTAAAGCTCCTCCACTCCCCGGTGATGATTGTAGAATTGAAATCAAACTTCACCTTACAGGTAAGTCTCGTTAAATTTTTTAATTCTAGTACGTCATCAGCTAGGGTCGTGTCAGAGTTGTACGAGATTTCACAATGAACAATGAAGTCAGTTTTTAAGTTACAAAGTAACAAACACAACAATGAGTAGGCAACCCTTATTGTATATAAGTCTATCCAAACATAACTCTATATATAATACAAAGGTGTCTTAATTATTTGCACTTATGGCAGATCCCAGATTAAAAGAAGACGTAATAGACTTTTTAACGACACGTGTTGGCATTTGACCAGCCAGCTGATTCCAGTACCTGAGATGCCGATCTGGAACTATATGACTGCCGAATTCTTTTGTGTGAATACCCGCAGAGGATAGACTGATAGTAACGTTTTGTACCAAAGTGAGATGGTTTCGCGTGACACTGCTTTGTGAGGCTTTGTGAGGCTTGATCAAGAGCTTGATGCAGTTGGGACTTCGGAATGGCTTTGTCCGTTAAAGATACTTCTTGCGGTGTGTTATGATGCACAGGGATGGTTCATCTGGATACACTTCAAACGTAAGAGGTTCTATATGGTGTCCCGCCCGCGTTTGTTTAACTTCCTCCCGAATAACAAATTCACATTTATCGGTTGATAAATTCATGGTGTCTAGATTTAGGAGGTACTAATTGTTTGACATCGCTGTCCGCTAAGAAGTAATAGTGGAAATGTTACTTGGATAGTAAGGTTCTTTAATGTCAGTTCGTTTACCATTGGTTGCGTTCTCGAATGATTAAAAACAATATTCACGTCCCAAAGAGATTTATATCGCGGGAAGGAAGGTCTCAGTTCGAAAACACCTTTCATAAACCGTTTTACCAGAGAGTTTGACCAAAGGGGATCGTATTATTGTTTGTTTGACTAAGTGCAGACAAGGCACTGCATGCAGAATTTATAGCGGAGTAAGACAAACCGGAATGATAGGGATCTGTGAGGAAGTCTACAGTGTTAGTGATTGAAGGGTCAAAAAATTCAAAACTTGAAGTGCTACAAAATTGGCCCCATTTGTTTATTTCTGTTTGGTTATTGGGACTTTGCCCCTTTCCATGTCAGATCTTCAGTTCTATACTTTTTGGCAAGTGAGAGCAGCTGGAAGTTTAAGGAGTGTCTGCAATTGTGGGCAAATCGGAGGGGGTTATTAGAAGTGGTACAATGAGTGGATACCAGGGTTGAGTTGCCAGTTGGAATTACCAGGATGCCCATGGCTTTTTCCTGCATAATCTTTTGAACTGTGTGCCAAATGCAGCTAAACGGGGGGAAGCAGTAGAAATTTAGCGTGCTCCAGGAAATAGAGAAAGCATCAATGTGTATTGCTTCGGGGTCAGACCGATATGTGTAGTAATTCGGAAACTGTTTGATTATTTGAGATGCAAATAAATCCATTTCTGGTGTAAAGGCGAATCTATTTAACATCCATTCAGCATCCCGATAAATATTGCGCGATTATCATTGTCAGCATTGATGTTATCTAACCCAGTTAGGCAGAAATCCCAAATTTCAATGGAAATTCTATTCAGTACCTCATTGAGGCTAGAACCCATGTACCTCATTGTGGCTAGAACCCAAACACGGTAGTACTGTTGTCCAGCTTGAGTTTAACATGTTTTCCCGTTAGCTTTTAGACAAATGACTTCAAGCCAAAAAAGCTGGTTTCTTTTCAGTTTTCAAATACGTTGATGTGGAAGTCATGCATCAATGAATGATAAAGAGACTTTTCAATGTGAGGTTGCCAATACTGTTTTAAAAAGTTTGGTAACGTTTCTTGGGCAGGATGAGAGGCCATTCGGGAAAGTAGTAAATTTAAGCAAAGTACGTTTGTACGAAAATTTTTTAAAAATTTGATAATCAGGATGGATAGGTACACTATAGTACGCATCTTTCAAGTCTAGCGAGGCCATCCAACAACTTTTGTTATGAGTTTAAGAGTGTGAATATTATTCATTTAAAGTTTTCTAGTTTTCTACGGACTCGTTGAGTTTCTTAAGGATTTTTTTTGGAGTGATAAAGATAGGGAAAATAAATTCGATTGGATCGGAGTCACAAGGGACAATGACTTGTACTGGGCACATGCCATTAAACGAAATTTCAGTCCCTGAAACTATTGCTAAAATGTCAAGGTCAGTGGTAAGTTTTTCCTATTCCCTGCAAAATTTCGAAATTTAAGATGTTGTTAGTAAATTCTTTAAATGTGTTTATCTTTTGTTATAAGCAGTCTAATTCTTTTTTATTTTTTTCTGATTCTGGTAATTGTGATGTAGAGGGTACTGTGCCCTCCTCCTCTAGGATAAAAAAGGCCTGCTTGTCTTTCGCCACCAAACACGAAAGGGCCGGCTTGAATTTCTGCCATATTTCCGGATTAACTTTCGGCACATACATTCCCTCACAATTTTCACTTGGCCGTTGATATTTGCTAGGAATTTCCTTTAGTTTAGGGCAGTATAGCTTCCTTCTTGTTTCGGGTCAGATTTTCTTCTGATGTAGTGGATTTGAAAAGAGATCTTCCGAAGAGACTTCAAAACGCGACTTCCGTTCACGACAAGGCGTATACAACTGACTATATCGCGAATGGGTATGCTCTCTCGCACAACTCTGAAATGACCCTAGCTTATGACGTAGTAGAATTAAGCTTAATTTACCCACTTGACAAGGACGTTAAAATACTCGCAGCCGATCAGTATGCATGTAAATGCCCATATAGATCGGCCGCCCGTATTTTATTAACTATAGTAATTATCATAAATTATCATAAAGTAATATAATAATAATGATCCGATATGCATGATCCAGTAAATCTTGTCTATGTCTAGTCTAGTCGATATCAGATATATCTCGACAGAGCTAAGTAAATACATTTGGTCCCTAAAGGATAATAACATCAGATACGCTATATATTGGAAAATAATGGCTCGTGCAAGCTCGTATTCAAATATCGGGAAAAAATGTAATTTATGCATAATGGAAAAGTACTTCATTATTTGTAAACCCGAGTATTGTACTCATAACAAAAGAAACGAACTGACTAGTGCATGCCGGCATGCAAATAAGTTTTTAATTAAGAATGGATAGGTATCACACCACTATGAACGATCGGTACACGGGATATTCCAATTCAATCTGTACACGCACCTGAAGAGAGAGGAGCTTTAATAGGCCTCTCGAAACAGAACTGTAGTGCTTTAAATTTTTAATGAACAATTTTTAGGTTTTAATCTCCAATTCATTTCAAATATATATATATATATATATATATATATATATATATATATATATATATATATATATATATATATACAGGGTGAGTCAGAAAAAAGTCCCCTCTATTGAAATCAAGCCTTTGTTAGAATCTGATTGCCTTAATATTATGATAAACCCAATTGAAAGCAAGACGCTTTATTTGAATGCCTCAACCTAATAACTATGCTATTTACACACTACTGCGTTGATCATGCATTCAAATCAACAAAGGCTTCATTTCAATAGGGGGGACTTTTTTTTGACTCACCCTATATATATATATATATATATATATATATATATATATATATATATATATATATATATATATGCCCTTTTTTTGTCTTGCTAGACGGTGCCGAGTTGTTGTTAGATCTTGGATTACATGCAGGAATCATTGGTAAAGAACTTTCACTACTCGTCTGATATAGATATTCATAAAGCTATTGAATGCTCCATCTTTTGATAGTATATAATTATGTTTCACAATTATTATAATTTATATGGAAGATTTTGCATACACCCGCTTATCATAGGAGTAATATGATATTGTTAGTACAGTTAAGGTCCAGACTACCCAGTAACTTGGTATGCTCGTGCGTTGTGTATGCATCCATATTACATCTTACATATCATATAATTTGACAATCTTGGCGAAAAAACAATATATAGGTGCGAACTGCGATGTTTGGAAAAATTTTTCATTGATACATCTTAACTTCATGTAGTTATGCCAGCCAATGTTCCGAATATGATTCAAGACGATCACGTGAAGGAAAAGGAAAAAACTATAACTGAATGATAACAGTATATAATGAATCAAATAAATTATGAATACAATCTAAGCAATTGAAGACACCCATTTACATGTTACGACTTTGTAACTCACGACTTTTCACGAAATCTTAAGGTTCTTTTTAACATAAAGTAATCTTTTATCACGTCTTATTAATTAATTTCTTCGTGTACCAATTGTCTCTTAGAGTGCGTGATGCAAAGGTGTTTTTCTCCCAGGAAATAGAACTTTAATTTAATTTTAGGAGGTATCGTTCTGCCTTTGCTTGGAGTTGTACCGGATGCTGCTATTATTGTCGTTTCTGGTTTGAAACCAGACGCACAATATCAGATCTCTGTTGGCATGGGGTAAGAACGGTATAGCTACTATAATTCTCTGCATGCATGCATGCATTCAATACGAACAATTAGAGTAACCTTTCCTGAAACCTTGATACCAATCTGTTAGGTTCGTTTTACTAATGAAATAGCTACTAATAAGTAGTATAGCCCTATACGAAGAAGGTCCTAATGCGAATGAAGAAGACAAGATACTCTAATTCATTTTAAAAGAAATGAATAACGCAAAAAAACCCGAATATGATTATTCCCCCCCCCCTGAAATGCCATTAAAATATGGCTTAGCAGCGGAGAAGTTACGCCACATATATAGATACAAAGGATGTTATACTTATCAATAATCTATTAGTGCAGTTTTGAAAAAGGCTACCATATCATTTTTACTTTTTTTAGGACTCTAGCTGGCAGCACGATAATGTTGTTGACGCTTTCGTGGGGCGGGAGTTTGTTCATCGGGAGATGTGACTTGGATAGCAATGGTGAAGCAATTGAAGGAACTGGAAAAGGAATTAATTGTTTGAAGCAGGTAATCTAGCGTATTTTGAAATTATACCACTCGTGTGAAGAGCATGTAGAGTATTGCAGCCAGGAAGCAGCTTCATAATTTGTACTTCTTTTAACAGCCTCGCAGTTAATATTTTCTTCTGAAAGATATCTTTTTATTTCAGGGCGTTACTCTCCTTCCTTCTGTGCAGAAATCCTCAAACATTATGCTTATTACATCACTTCTTTATCTGTAAGTTTGAGTTATCCAATCACTGTTTCAAAACTTAAATGTGATCTTGACCAGTGTCGCTTCTGTTAAAGTGTTTTCACTATTGTTTCATAAACTTTTGATATAAGGGCCGCATTCTATGACAGCCGGTTTCGTTGCTTTTCTTTGGCACAAGTTAAAACACGCAGTGGCGTAGCCAGCCCGATAATTTAGTAATGCTATGCTAATTTTTGGTTAAAACAATGAATTTCCAAAGAAATGAATAATGAGAATAACATAGAATTTGCATAGCATGACTAAATCGTCAGTCTGGCTACCCACTGAAAACACGATGGAGAATTAAGATTAATCTTTATATCTCCAATATATTTTTGTTGATCATAGCAAGAAAAATGATTGGTTCATTGTGATTTTGTCCATCAATTGGAAATTTTCTCAGCATAATATACCATCTTGCTTTACCAAGGCCAAGTTGTTCAGGAATACCATCAATGACCCGATTTATACTAGAGACGGATGACCATCTGGACCCCCTCCCATCGTAATGCGTGTAGCCCACGCGAGACGTAGGAAACTGTTGGATTATGTCTTAGATATTCGTGGACTCCACGCGTGAGCGGAATTATGTTGCGTGTGTAAGAAGTAGTGCATACAATGCAATATAATGAAGCGTAAGTCCGCATGATGGCATGTTTGTTCGATAAAATGTATGAACAATCACGCCACCAGTGTGACACCACCAACAAACATTATTTTTAACAACCTACAAGCATCGTTAAGCTTCAAGGAGTGAATGGGAGTAAATGTGCGTTTTATTCGAGTTGTGTACTTTGCCAATGCATTATATATTTTATCATACCCTATTCATTGCCTCTTGCAGTGTGGTTCAAAGTGCGGACTGGCATTGGGGTCCCAAGAAATATCCTCCCCATGATCCACCTCAACCAAAGTATGTGAAAGATTCTGCGTTGGCGACTGTCATTTTGTGTGCCATATCTTTTGTTGCCTACCTTGCTTTTTTGGTAAGTGGTAATTTTACACACGTTCGAAAATGTTATGGGACATAGATTTTTAAAATACGAAGAGGACAAAATGTTCAAGTAATACGACGACAGAAGTGTATATATATAGAGAGAGATAGTAGTATCGGGTTCGATTCGAAGTCATTTAGGTAGAGTGCTCAATAACGTGTTATAGAATGTTATCCTGTAAGAATAATGAAAAACTGGTTTATTTCATAAAAACTTTTATTACGACAAATTTGTTTCGTGTGGTAACAGTGGTGGGTCTAGGGTTGTGCAGAAAAAATTACCACAGTTTAAAATCGGAATCGCAATGTTAAATTTTAATACAAAAACGCATTACTTCAGTTCCCGTAATGGACCGGCACTTCCCCGTAATGGACCGGCGGTAGAGGCGATCCATTACGAGAGGAAAAACAGAGAAATTCTGAATGAAAAAGGCACACATAAATGCACAAGAGAAAAATTAATTGCTTTTGAAATTTAACATCTCCAGACGGTTTAGGTAACCTAGATAATTCAATATTTTGTTTTTGTTTTTATCAAATGCGTACCAGGCTACTAATACGAATTCATGCATTTCTTGTTTGTTTAAAGTGCAAATACATCCCTTATGCCATATAATAAACTTTTTTTAACCTTGCTTGCTCGGTCTTCACCGAGAAATATCAGCCCCGATCTTTTTGTACAAACCTCGCTCTTTGAGCTCGGTCTGTTCAAAAAGACCTCGGTCCGATATTTTTCGGTAAAGACCTCGCGCTCGGCTAATAAGAAGTTATTATTTTTATTTAGTATTCGGCATATTTTTTTGTTATTTTAATAAATATTTTTCAATGCTAACATTAATTTAGTTTATGTTCGCTATATTTTTTTAAATGAGCTAATGTGTTGTAAAATGTCATGCCTGGCTTTTATACAAAACTCTGTTAGTGTCAGTCTCAGATTTAAAACAACTTTCCGTGGCAAGCCTAGCCAATATTCATTTTGAAAATGGAAAGATTTATTTCTTTTGACGGTTTCGCAACAAATATATACTTGAGAAAATACGAAGACAAGGTGCTTAAGGTGCTAAAACACTGTCGAAACGTTCCCTTACTGGCCTGTCAGTAAACGCGATTTCCTGAGCTCTTGAGGAAAAAGACTTTCCATTGAGGGTGTCATACGATGATAAACAATCGCCTGGACGCTAGAATTTCCTAAGAAAACAATAACAAACAATAAACTTCTAAATAGCAGCTATATTTTTACCCCCACTGCTTGTTTTTAAAGCGCGCGAGACAGAACAGTATTGATTTCTATCTGACCAGGTAGATATCCGACTCAGATCACCTGGATTGTAATGTTAGTCTCTTGAGCGGTTTATTTGTCGACCATAACGAGACGTTTCACAATTCAGGATACTAAATATGAATTTTAAAGTTTGCTACTCGTAACCACTCGTATGATTTTTGCATCAATTCCACTCCCATTCGTTCTACTACCATCATCAATGGTACTGCAGTACAATTAATGATTTTACCAAAATTAACAAAATGGCGGAAAGTTTTTTCATACAAATTAAACAACCCTGGAGGAATACTGCCAAAAGTACAAAATAATGGATAAAAGTCTGGAAGTTAGGGCAGTGTTTTACATTAAATTATCGTGTTTACGCCTGAAAAGTTGGCGATGAAACGCTATACGGTTTTCAACCAAAATTGCAGCTGATTGGTCAATTCTAGTTTTCCTTAGCAATAGGGTAGCAACGGAACCAGCAGTGAAAATTGAGTATTATTTATCGTTGTCATATTGTATAAAAAATCACTTTTGAGCATTTCCTTGGATGTTTTCTACTAAAAAACCTAAATTTTTTTATTTTTCACCATGCAAAATTAGGCACTGGCACTTCATTCATTTAAATCTGCCACTTCAAAATGAGTCTAAGTGATGTATATGATCATTTCCTAATTTTTAAGCCAATGCGCTATTATCAGTATTGCATGTGTTTTATCGTGTACGCCCGTTTGCACTTGCAATTTTTGCTGCGATTTAATGTGCAATTTTCTCCATTTCATGGATACTAATGAGTGAGTAGGTTACGGATGCACTAGTATGGACACTTATACATTACACCATTCGTAACCTTTTGCTTTTTGATGATAGATCGCACCGAAAATCGCAGCAGAAATTGCAAGTGTAAACGGGCCTTACTCAGGTCGTTAATTGACGTCTGCGCGCCGAAAGTCCCCAAATATGTCATTGCGAAGAAATAAAAAAAATATTACTAAAGTGAAGTATTTTCAAATATGTCATCTTAGATCCGCAAAACAGTTGAAGTGGAATCATTGACACCCGCACAGAAGGAGTAAGTACATGCTTGGTGATCTATTATAAGAAATGGACAAGTTACGGGTGTCTTTTCGACTAATCGAGGTTGGTCGAGGGTTATCCTTATATGTAGTAATGTACTGTATTTTTTTTCACTTTACCTCTTATTGTCAACTGTATTTTTTTTCACTTTACCTCTTATTGTCAACGGCTTCGCAATGAAAGATCGTCAATTTTTGTCGAAACTTTTACAAAAAGTGGTGGAACGACGTGTCTATAACGATAATATATCAAAACTCCGTGACAGAGCTGTATATAAAATAGTCACTGTAAAAAGCTAAAATGGCCACGGTATGAAAATTTCTCTTAAACGTGCCGGAAACGGCACCCCGGAGAAGTGTCGTGTGCCCTTATCCGAGGAATATTTACAATGATAGCCCATGCAAAATTCAAATTCAAATTTCGAATTGATTGCTATATAATTACTTAATTTAAGTAAGTTTTTCATGAGGCAATGATTTGCACGAGTTCCTTTAGAAAGAGTGCAATTTATTAAATTATTTAAAATGACCAGTTTATAACTATAACTCAATAACCAAATTATTGGGCGTTGATGGTTTCCCTTAGTAACGAAAGAAAATAGTAACGTCAGCCTCTTTTTGATTTTCTGTTTCCACACTACAGGGTAAGTAAAAAAAACTGACACCTTTGAAATTCAAATTAGCTGCTATGTGTCTGTAATCGGCTGTAATTTGACAGAAGTTGCCTAAAATATCTCATGGGTAGACGAAGCATATCAAATAAGTGAACCCATTAATTAACCTTGAACATAAAGTTGGGAGTTAAAATGCATTCTAAGCTATGTAAAAAAGAACGTTGAATTAGTTCAATTGGTTTAAACACTTTCGCATTAATTAACCACGTCTTGTTGATTGTACACAATGGGAATTGTCAAATTCCAGCCATAAGTTTGCGGCTAATTTGAATTTCAAAGGTGTCAGTTTTTTTTTTACTTGTCAAATTCCAGCCATAAGTTTGCGGCTAATTTGAATTTCAAAGGTGTCAGTTTTTTTTTACTTGTCAAATTCCAGCCATAAGTTTGCGGCTAATTTTAATTTCAAAGGTGTCAGTTTTTTTTACTCACCCTGTATATCACCAAAAATCGAATTGCTCTTAACCACTGATCTATTCTAGCATTGGTCAGTGCTCGTATCTGATTTTTATCATCCTAAAAACCTACGAGGCATTACAACAGTTTTTAAAACGAGGATATATTTGATCTGGCAATAATAGCAAGATTTAATTACTTTCATAACATAAAAGGGTATTGCCAACGAAATATCGTAACCGAACTTAAAGAGCTGATCGCCATCTTGGATAAATTATTTATTAATGATAACATATGGTTTTGATGACGCCACAAGCGGGGTTAACCTACTCCAAATGCTATAAATTTCTTTAGAAAACCTGCTATATTTTGGGCTTCGGTGTCCAATAATTGTCTTGATAAAAAACTAGCATGACCCAGGTTTTGACATAACATACATTTATCCTTCAAACTAAGATGGCGGTCAACTCACTAATTTCGGCCTAAATATTAAAAATACCTCACTTTTTAATACCTCTTTGGAACGACAATGGAAATATTTTGAAACTGTAGGCAGATTGATATCAAAACAAGACAGCCTTCCGAGATTGATCCTATTGTTACTAAAGAATCCGAAAACGAGTTGGAAGAGGTAACGACACAGAATCCTTTCAAAAAGTAGGAATATACATTCAGCTGTATAATAATGAATTGTTGCTTGTTGTGATTTTGATCAAAACCACTGTACACTAGTCGAGTGCTCCAGTTTTTTTTTACACGTAATTAATTGCATACTATTCATTGTGGAAGGACTCAATTCCCTCGAGGATAGTTCTGTTAATTTGAGTGGAATGCATACGCTTACGCAGTATATATTCAGTTTTGGATTATTAAAAACGCTCATTCTCGTAGAAGTTGACTAATCTATAACTTGCTTCATTTAATAGGCCACGGATAAAGAGAGGAGCAAAGTAGTTGTTGCACTCAAATGTTTCTTCATGTTGTGTGGTGGTGTTGCCATGGTAAGTGTAAGATATGACACCAACCTATTTCTAACTCAAAGATAGTATTTGTTGCTTTTTGTCACTCTCATATTATATGAGTTACTATTGTTTTGTATTATTTTTTATTCCACGTTGTATTTCCAATATTTTTTATGTTTACTTTTTTGCTAGGTGACGATATTCTCTGATCCGATGTGCGATGTTCTCAGTGGTATAACGAATAAAGCCAATGGTGACAATGGGGGCAGCTACATCAACATAAGTCGTATGTATTCACACCATCTGTACTGTATATGTAAATAATGGTGGTATTGTCTTCAACCACTTCACACTAAACTTTATTTTCACCAAGTTTCAAACATACCCTACATCTTTTTTATAACGCACTCAAGTAAGTGGTCTTGTTTTCAGTCGGTATTAGTGTCCTGTCGTCTCTTTCCTGAACGACACGTCAGGATCGTCTTTTAGTAGCCATCCATCATGCACGTTTGCAGAAAATAAGACCATGAGGGACTAGAGTCACCTTGGCCATCCTGTTAGGAAACTTTACGCACCCCCTCCTTTTTCCTATTGAAGTCATCGCAGGCATAAAAAATCGCTCCTCGTAAAGTCGCATCACAATGCCTTTATTCTGCGTTAGCTTGTACCGCACCATTTGCAGGAATACCCGATAATTAATACCAGAAATAGTTAGACTTCAAGAGGTGATTAAACATACAATAATAACATTTTGGAAACAAATATTTATTTCTCAACCTAAAAAAAGATCATGATATTTTCCATTTATCCTTTACTTATTTTAACTGGACCTGTAACGACAATTCTATATATATATATATATATATATATATATATATATATATATATATATATATATATATATATATATATATATATATATATATATATATATATATATATATATATATATATATATATATATATACACCCATTTGCAAAAACGTTGGCCGCAGATAGATAGATAGATAGATACTCGAAGCCTAATTAGAATTGCATATGAATACATTTGCATGGGATTTCAATCATATTACACAACATATGCAATTCTAATTAGATTTCGGGTATCTATCTATATATCTATCTGCGGCCAACGTTTTTGCAAACGGGTGTATATATATATATATATATATATATATATATATATATATATATATATATATATATATATATATATATATATATATACGTCATTTCCCTATTTGGAGAGTTTGCAGCTTCAGTTTCACACACCGCCAAACAATACGTATTTTAAAGCCAATAACCAACACGTTATACTAAAATAAGCCTCTAGTTTTAGTATATAGTCTAGTTTTTATACATATGGTGAGACAGGTTGAAAAACCGTACCGTCCTCCCGAAGTTTATACCTCAGCTACTATATCTGGAATGTGTTTGCGTGTCCTATATACCTAACTATATACTCATCTAATTAAAATATGTTAATTTGGCCACTACAGAACCTTCAGTACCCATACAGAGTGCTTGAAAGGATAGCTGGGGAATGAAATATTTTAATATTAGTGCATTTTATCCGGGTCTATAACGCTCGAAGGTATTTTTAGTGCACTAACCGATTTTGAAGTTTAAACCCTCCAGTTCACGATATATTGATAGACATGTTGTCAGACGCTAGACGCGAAACCATAACGTTACAGTTACGAAAAATGCAATTCAATTTCTAATTTTTATCTGTTCAATATTTTAAGCCTTCTACGTGTCGTTTGTTGTCACACCAATATGCTCGAACGCTTCTGAGCTGGTTTCATCGCTTCTTTTCGCTGCCAAGAAAAAGAAAGAAAACGTGTCTATTACTTATGCCCAGGTGAGATTTATTATTCTATAGCTTATCTGCTGGTTTAGCTTTTCGTTAATATGTTTTTATAGAACATCGATATCACCAAAATATTTTATTGTTTCAAGTTCGTCTTTTCCTAGTTATCAACCAAAGTATATGTAACTGTCTCTACTCGCGCCATACTTCGCGCACAAATGTAAATACCTTTCATTTTAGTTTGTTTTATTTGTCGAACACTATCAAACATTATACTGGTTACGTTTGGGATAATTTACATAATAGAAGTTGCGTGATTTCAGACTAAAGCGGGAAGAAATTGTTGACATCAGTTTACCAATAATATAACAAGTTGGGCATTTTGCGATTGTTGCGTTCGTTTGTCCTTCGAGTTCGTGCGTGGTAAGGTGCTAGTATTGACCCAAACTCCTAGCATTAAGCCAGTCTTTAAATGAAAGTTTACGAAAATTCACGGGGAGTTACAGTGTATAATAAATTAGCTATATTACTAGTATCTGATATTTTATACACAGTTGTGGACTTCTGAGGTGGGAGGAGATGCCCCCCTAAAATATTTGAAGAAGTTGGGAAAATTTCTATTGATTCCGTTTGTTTTTAGAATTAGCTAATTTATTATACCTTATTAGAAATTTCTGGTACTCTGTAGTTCCGAGGGCTTGCTTTTTAACCTCACGAGGGCAGTCAGCAGGTGATTACGCCTTTTTTGGATTGGCGATATTCAGTGGCGTAGCCAGCCTGACGATTTTGTCCCGCTATGTAAATTTCGAGTTATTATAATTATTTGTTTCTTTAGAAATTTATTGTTTTCACAGTCAATAAACACCAAATATTAGCAAAGCGGGACAAATCGACAGGCTGGCTACGCTACTGGCGATATTAAAATATATTGAGAGTCGAATTATCTTCCGTAACTCGGTAATTATCCTCGGTAACTTAACAAAACTGAAATATTGGATTTACAAAATTTTGTCTTTCGGAGTATGGCATTATATTTTATTAAAAGTTTTTTTATTCAGAGAAAGCTCAATTATTGCTGGTATGCGCGCCGTAGCATATATTATATGTACACATATACTATACTAGAGCGTCCGCGCCTATTATCGCACTACCTGTGTTTAATTTCGGTTTTTGTAGTTGTATGGGGCAGCAACAATGAACAACACTATGTGCTTGGGCATCTTTTGTGCACTGGTTTATATCAAAGGCCTGGAGTGGTATTACTCGGCTGGTGAGTTTGCCTTGATTTTGTTCTCTTGAAGACTTTATATTTTAGAGATTTGTATTGTACGTCGATAAGGCAGAAACTGGCTTCTCGAATCTCAACATGTTGCATGATCTCGAACATTGCGTAAGAATGCCATAACATGAATATTATGCGGGTTCACCACCCTCAACCTAGCTGTTTTTAATACAGCTGTCTCAAAGAGCTTACATTTCTTTATTAAACTTGCATTGATCAACGCCTATTAACGTTCTCTTAGTTTATACACAATTGAAAAACATCCTCAATTCATATTGTTCAACATTTCTGAAACCTGCTTCAGTAGGTTTCGAGATATCTGCGTAATATTTAATGTTAGTCAACGGATTAACAGTCCCGGAAAACCCCTGGAAAAACGCAAAATAGGGTCTTGAAAAGTTGTAGATTTTTATTGTTGGTTTTATTGTCGAAAAGTAGGTGAAACGTAACAGGGCGTTTTTCTATATTTTTGTAAATACGAGAAAGACAAGTTTGTTATTTTCCGCGGATAACAAATTGCTTCCAACAAATGCCTAAGTTGGTTCACCATACCAGGGCGCTTAGAACCATACCACAGCTAGGAGCGCGTTTTAGAAAATAATGCGCAAATTGCAGTAACCACGCTATATCCGCTGCGCATTCGCTTAGTTCTATTTATTTCATTCCGGTGTTGTTGCGCATAAGTACTTGCTAAATTCTCAGTTTAAGTTCAGTTGTTAATGTGAACGCTTGTTGGTAAGCTTGTATTGGAAAACTTTTTGTACTTGCATAAGGGCTAAATCTATCCACGTTGGAACTCAATCTATATCAATCTATATTTGGCGGGTATCTTGCATGGTTCTTGCACTAGTTCCGTTTATACTTTGCCATTTAGGATCATTATCTGTTTAGTATTAATTTTGTATTCTACCGTATGTATTAATGAGTGATCCTAATAAAGTCGACAATAATAATAATAATAATAATAATAATATATTGGCTTAAAAAGAAGCTTTACGTGCGCTAACCAAAGCACGGAATAGACATTATACCAGAAGCCTCACTCTTTGCATTTTGCTAATGTTTTCGTGCCCGAAATATTTCAGAAGCGCACGCGACATTCTACACAATTCTACGCCATCCTGGTGTGTGCATAAACTTTGTACCCCCTTGGAAAAGTTCCTGCACACACCAGGATTGTGTGAGCAAGACACAAATTGGATACTAAGCACCATAATGCTTGCGTATGCTCGCGTATTTGGCTTGCGTTAGGTGGACACCAAATGCGAAGAAGAGTGAGGCTTCTGGTATGATTTCTGATCGAACACCTCTTTTTAACCCGTAATACACAATTTAAAACAGAACTTATTCGAATGACTATTCTTGTATTATAGGGTTATTTGTTCTCACTAGCAGTTTTAGGAATTAATTGGTCACTCCCAAGTACATTTATGACCAAAGATCTACTACAACTTTTTTAAAATTCAATTATGACCGTATTAACTTGACTGCTAGAACTGTTTCACTGTGATTTCATTCCAAAATGTTGGTTGTTATTTTCAAAATAATCAGGTCTTTTAGTGCAACAAACAGTTTTTAGGTGCATACGAACCACTTGGGTCTTTTGCTGTTTTATTACATATATTGACTGATATTAATAGAGCCTATTCCAAGTATATCCTTAATAGCATAGCGCTGGCATAAAAAGAAATGGAAAGAATTTTTTGTGTTTTGAATGTTTTGTTATTTTTTGGCCGAATATAATTTGATCGACTTTGAAAACTATTTGCAACTTACTGCCACTATTCAATCTTTATTTAAACTTTACTATAAATTTTTCCTAAAACCTTCGATACTCTCACAAATTACCTCCCAATAAACTTTAGAAAAAATAGCAAATCGCACTTGCTTTGATAAAAATGTTTTTTCGGTTTAAAATATTTAATTAAAATAACTGGTGAACGGTGCGAAAAAATAGTCTTTGTTTAAGGTAGAGATGAGCATTTTTAAGAGGTGTGTAAAAACCTGCCTCGTCCCCAGTCGCTTGCAATTCCAAAAATAGAGATCAGTTGCTGCATGTGAGGGAAGCTGTGGCGACGATGAAATTCATTTTTTCCTTGATAAAAGTACACCAAAGTGCCCAAAAGGGCCACAAACTTTGAAGCAAAAGTTTTCATAAGTCTAGAACGTTTTATTCTTCAAGTACCCGTCTACCCAGTTGTTTCATTTGCGAATTGTTTGGCGATCTGACCAGATGAAAGCTGCATTTAGTATTTTGAAGGTGTACAAAATCTGGACTTTTCTCTAAATTCCGTGTTTCCCCTAATATACAATTACAATTACAATGTATAATATATATTATTCCTTAAATTACAGAAGTCACGGTGATCTTGCTTGTACAATGGCTCGTGTTTGTCATGGGTTTCCCCTTGACCTATAAGGTATTTCTTATAACGTTAGACAAGATAAGTATGTATGGGCGAAATACGGGAGTTATGTGACAGCAGCAGAAGAATGAGGGACGTTCAGTTTTTTTAATGACCTCTTGGTCCCTTTTCAAGGAAACTATAAAAAATCAGAACCAATCAATAATTATTTATTATTTGCTATTTTGATTAGTAAATTCTATTGTGAGTCATGACATTTATCGGAGGCTTTTTTTAGTCCTTTTAAATGACTATAGCTTACATTCGGGTTAAGTCCGCTGGTCGTTTAAATCCGGGCGGCGTGTTTACACCTTGAGGTGGTCCAGTACTTTTTTTTTTTTTAAATCTGTTCATGCCATATTGCAAGCGAAGTTGCTCTGAGTGAAAAAAGACCTGTAGGAATCTTCAATCACTATTGTTACCCAGACCAAACACACTCAATGGTGGAAAAATTTTAAAAACGATAAAAGACCTAGTTTTAACGCTCGAACGACGAAGTTGGTTTTATTTCGTTCTAAGTATTTTTGCCTCGGAGCTAAACTTCGAATAAATAAAATTTTCCAGTATTAAACGTTTTGCAGGCTATAAATACGAAACTTCTACGATCTATCTAAAATAAACAGTCGCAATTTTACTTAGACTAAATGGAATTAACCACTAGTTCACCTCCGATCGAATTGTCGTTAAAGTCGACACTGATAATTTTATGAAGTTAGCTTTATTACTTTTGAATTATCGTGCAGGAAAGTAAGGGGAATGAGAATTTTAGTTTGCTAAGAAAATCGATGAAATTTTTTTGCATATATTCAAAACTTGTAGAGAACAACACAATAGGACAATGAAGCAATAAAATAAGCCAATAGACCCTTTTGTTTGCTCGGGGTAAAGCCTTAATAAAACTGTCTGTTGAATTCTTCTTTGTATATTTTTTGGAGAAAAAAAGATTCAGGATCGTTTTGGGATACATTCAGTAAGTTTGTAACCATTGAAATTTTTGTAGTGGACCACCTTAAGCGAAAGTTTTGGGACATTTTGATATTTAAACAATTACATAAAACTGGCCTTGAAACTGGTTGAAACAAATCTATTTGGAGCAGATCGAAGAAGGCCTGTAAGACCTCCCCCCCCCGTCACTTTGAGGACTTTGTGAGTTTTCCAATCAAGTTTAAGATTATATTTGGATTTATATTTCAACTGATACAACGGCAAGAGAGTGTGGCAGTGCCAGTCAATGTCCCTCGGAAAAGCGAAAACTACAAAACGTGATTTAACCAAATCAATAGGTTAAAAATTTACTACAAAGTTCGCTTGTAAAACAAAAACTCAATGCCAATCATCAGTTTATAATAGCAACATTACCATGCTAGTAGAGAATGGATGTGAAGCAGGAGGCAATTCGCAAAAAGGTTCGGGAGGCAGAAGACGGGGTACGGAAGGCAGAAAATATTCATGCCCCCAACCCCCACCACCGCCAACATAAAGGAGCATAAGAGCATTAGCTGAGAAAACATTGGTTGTGTATACTGACAAGGGCACCAGCTTCCATCGTTGAAGAAATACTTGACTTTAGTAGACTGCATGTGTCTACAGAACTGAAAGTTTAGTAGACTGGATTCGATTGCACGGTTTGGGCCTGTATACAGACGTATATTTGCCTCGAAAATATTTGGTGTTGCGAAAGTATGACATGAACAGTCTTTTCTTTTTTTATAGTTATGGAAAGTCGTTCCCGTCGCTTTCCTTTACGTATTTTCTATCATTCTTATTGCAATCCTGGAAAGCACTGCTGTTGGATGGAAATGATGAAGATAAATTTCTTTTAGTTTTTTTATTTACTAATCAAAGTTGTCACAGTATTTTCTATAGGTAACACGTTCTGCTATGTATAGAGAATGTTCCATAGCATGTGAATCCCTTGCCCGCGAGACGTCGGAATCTTTACGATAAATTTTTACGATAGTGTGCGCTAGTTCAAGTATACCAATGTTATCATTGATTCGCCAACTATCTCACAATGCAAAGTTTCTCGAGGTTATTGTTAACTAAAAAGGGAAGGAAGGGGCTAAATGAATGTTGTAGACTTGTAGTTTCAATAATCACCCTTTCTATATGCTGACTGCATCCCCTCTCTCACCCCAGAAACAAACCTTTGAAAGAAACACACGCTGGATGTCCCAATAGCGCTTACATTATATGTTTCGATTCTCAATTAAGGTAGTCCAGTACAAAAATAATAATCTTTTCTGTTTTGAGGTGGTCTTATACAAAAAATATTTTCTTTTATTTTGTAAAATATAAAGATCTTTTCATGCCAAGTTGCTCTGAGTGAAAAAACACTTTTGTGGAAAATAGACGGTTTTTGTAAACACGATAACAAACTAGGTTTTAACGCTAGTATTAAATGTTTGCAGGCTATAAGTATAAACTTTTACGATATATCTGAAATAACCAGTCGCTATTTTACTTCGACTGAACGGGATGCAAAACGTTTAGTTCACCCACGAGCCAATTGCTTTTAAAATCAACCATGAAAATTTCATCAAGTTAGCTTTATTACTTTTTAGTATCGTGTGCGAAAATAACGGGGATGAGAATTTCAGTTTGCTAAGAAAAGCGACGAAAAAAGTTTTGCCGAATAAGCCAATGGACCCTTTTTGTTTGCTCGGGGTAAAACCTTAATTAATAAAACTTTTCGTTTATTTCTCATGTTCTTTATATATATTTTTTGATAAAAAATATTCAGGATCGATTAGGAAGACATTTAAGTTTCCATTTCTTGAAATTTTAAAAACAGAATAAATTGGGATTTTTTTGTAAAAGACCACCTTATATATATATATAGATAGATAGATAGATACTCGAAGTCTAATTAGAATTGCATATGATTACATTTGCATGGGATTTCAATCATATTACACAACATATGCAATTCTAATTAAATTTCGAGTATCTATCTATCTATCTATCTATCTGCGGCCAACGTTTTTGCAAATGGGTGTATATATATATATATATATATATATATATATATATATATATATATATATATATATATATGTATATAGTAGTGGTCTATAGTAGTGCTCGTCTATATATATAAGTTGGTCTTTTACAAAAAAAAAAATATATATATATATATAGTGTCCTGAGTATTTTGTCTCCAAAAATATACAAGAAACGCTAGAATTTAACAAAAAGTTGTATTAATTAGAATTTAACCCCGAACAATCAATCACTGAAAATGCATATCCTTTTGTTCATATTGACTGTTTCATTATGCTTACTGAACTTGTGTAAAAACTATTGAAATTGACCTTTATTCTTTAGTGAACAATCCATGTAATTGAAATTTCATAAATGATTAAGAACTTACTGACTGAGAGTGAGGTCTGTACGGTAAAATATCAAACCGAGGTCGTGCCGTATTGACCGAGCGATAGCGAGGTCAATACACCAAGACCGAGGTTTGATATTTTACCGTACAGACCGAACAGTCGAAGTTAGTAAGTTTTTTATTATATGGCATATTTCATGCAGACATTGTAATGATTAATTCTTTATGAGTAATTTTAATGATCAATCTCATCCGGGCACACGACACCAAAACATCGGCCTAAAGTGAAAAAAACCGCTCTATTTTGTAAAATATAAATTTATTATCTTTATTTCAAATTCATTATTTTCCGTTTAAGAATTTAATCTGTTTTTCAGTTTAAATTTAGTTAGTTTTTGCCGTGAGATTTGCCTTGTTTTCACAGGGCAATAAGAATTGCGTATTGCCCGTGGGCAATACGGGGAAATCCGGACCTGTCAGCAGCCAATCAAATTGCAGAATTAACCAAAACAAGCGCTTGCCATATAATAAAATGATTTTTTGCTCGTTTAAATGAATACTCTTTTGTTCGTATTGACTGCATGTTTAGTATGGCTAATTAAAATTTCATACATGTTAATGATGTTCTGTTCTTTAAATGAATATTTCAAAGTTTTATTGGTGTACCGCACAATGTTATTGAATATTTGTTTGTGTTTAATGCCGGGCAAAAGGTGTAAATAAAACCAATATAATTCCTTCGTTCTAGAGTTAAAAGCTAGTTAGTTAACTAGTTAGGTGCATGTGTCTGGTCTGGGTAACTTTAGCGGTGGAAGATTCCTGCAAGTCTTTTCACTCGGAGCAAATTGGCTTTGTATGACAATATTTTCATATTTTTAAATATAAAAGAAAAGAAAAACATTGTGGTATATAACCTGAAACCACGATTCTATTTTATTGATACCGAAAAACTGTAGAGCCATTTTGCATTGTGTGATTGATTTATTCCATTATCAGCGGCGAAAAAATTCGTGACAGGTTTGTTGCACCAAATCATATATGAAAATATGATGATAAATCTGACTGGAGAAATCCTCTTTTTTTCCATAATTTTTGAGATTTACAAACAGGTCAAAAAACGTAGATACGAAGTGTAATTTTCGAATTAAAATGACCAATTTTGTAAAATTTTCGGACCTTATTTCCAGGGGCCCACTCAACCAAATCATCTGATATTCTACTGTTAGATATAATGGGACGCGTTTACTCTAATTAACCACATTAGAACGAATCCTATAGACCAATTGCGAAACTTAGTGACCGCGCCTTCGTGCAACATGGAAACGAGGCTTATTATGCAAAAAACAATATTTGTATTTTTTGTAGTACAAAGCTATTAGCCGAGTTATATGCCGTTTTTCGCCTTTGTTTTACATATTTTTCGATACTTTTCAGCTTGGTTTCATCGTTGTTATCATAGTTTTCAGGTTAGAAAGTTTTGCCTTTCAATTGAGGCGTTTTTGTGGTATTTTCATTAATCTTTTCGGCTGCTTTCGTCGGGGAAGTATGGAAAAGGCCGACACAAACTCAGGTAAAAAGTTAATTTTTCCAAACTATTTCGTCTCAAGTTTTGAAAATATATTTCATTTTTCTCCCTCTTATTTGTGCAAAATTTGGCGACATATATTTGGTGCAAAATCTATGTTTTTATGTCAAAAATTATTGAAAAGTTACAGTCAGATTATATAATTTTCAAACCTGATGACTGAAATGGCTTCATTTATTCAAATTTATTCACAAATACCACTGTATTTTTTTTTCTTTATACCACAGTAATACTGTTAAAATGGTCAAAAGTAACTGACTGAATGTTTTTGTTTATTTTCGTTTTAATAAAGTACAGACGATGCATGGCTGGCATGCCGGCCTGAAGGCCGAATTTTATAAAAGTCGAATTCGAATGCATTTGAATTCTGCAATTTTGTTAGTACAAAACACTATTCTTTCTATCTACTACCATGCAATAGATGTTTAATAAGGGTTAACCAGGAATACTTGAAAAGGAAAGGATCCCGTTCACTATCGTAAACGGAAAAACACTTGCGAACTCCGGTTTAAACATTTTTCGCTTTCGGCTTTGCCATCATGTAAAGGTGTATCTTAAAAAACGCTGCAGCTCGCATTGTGGCTTTATAGTATGTTATTGCCGGAAAAGGAATATTCAAATGACAATTCAAAATAGATGTCGGGAATTTATGTTAAAACTAGGGATTTGACATTAACCATAATTAATATTAATATAATTAGACATAAGTAATTGAACATCTATATTTAGTGGTGATTGACAGGTGATAAGAACAATGCTTAGCAAAGCAAGTCGTAGTGTAACAGAATTGTGATTGTCTGTGAAAGAGAAAGCTTCATTATTAAAGTTATTGGTTTATATAAAGCGGTGAATTTTCTCTCGTTGTGGAGAACACAACAAAAATCTACCACATAGACAATGATATTATGTTTTGGTTATAAGTATTTTACTATCCATGTCATGCATGTGTGCCAAGTTGAAGAGTTGTTTTGCTTTTCAGTCGGCATCACATCACATGTACTGTACTCTGTAGTCTATATACACAGGGAAAATAAACATAAAACTCCGTTGCTTATTTTATCTCTTATAGTTTTTGTCAACAGATTTCTACTATTTTTTTTGCTGAGCTGAAAAATTGCTGTCAAATTACATCTTATCGATCGATAAAGTTGGTATAAAAAAATTTTAGATGAGAAATGTGAACATGGTGGTTTGTTCGATCGTGACTTTTCAATAATTTTTGACATAAAAACATAGATTTTGCACCAAATATATGTCGCCAAATTTTGCACAAATAAGAGGGAGAAAAATGAAATATATTTTCAAAACTTGAGACGAAATAGTTTGGAAAAACTAAACTTTTACCTGAGTTTGTATCGGCCTTTTCTATATTTCCCCGACGAAAGCAGCCGAAAAGATTAATGAAATTACCACAAAAACGCCTCAATTGAAAGGCAAAACTTCCTAACCTGAAAACTATGATAACAACGATGAAACCAAGCTGAAAGGTATCGAAAAATATGTAAAACAAAGGCGAAAAACGGCATATAACTTGGCGAATAGCTTTGTACTACAAAAAATACAAATATTGTTTTTTGCATAATAAGCCTCGTTTCCATGTTAAGCGAAGGCGTGGTCACTAAGTTTCGCAATTGGTCTATTGATGAAAACATTTTTTGAACTTCCGCTCAACCAAATCATCTGATATTCTACTGTTAGATATGATGGGATGCGTTTTGTCTAATTAACCACATTACTTATTAGAACAAAATCTAATAAAAGAAAGATTTTTTGAAGTTTCGCTGAATCAAATCATCTGACATTCTTCTGTAAAATATATTGGGAGGGTGTAGTCTAATTAACCACATCGGAACAAATCCTATTGAAGGAAACATTGTTTGAAGTCCCGCTGAGAGAGATTGGTAGGACTGACTAAAACGGGCTTAAAAAGGTTCTCGGTAAAGCGTCGGTGAACTTAATAACACTCCAAACCCTCCCAGTGGAGATCGAAGCCATGAACGACAGACCCTTGTCCTACGTGTCATCAGATGACGAACGAACAGCGCATCTATTATACGGCAGGAGATGACATCTCTACCGAACGAGAGTCTGGACGATGGTGAACTGTCAGATCCAGACTTTAATGAGACTTAACTCCAAAGAAACGCCAAGAGATTGTTACTACTGTTACAACGCTTTCACCAACGTTGGAGACAAGAATATATCACATCCTTACGAGAATTTCATAGGAATATTGGAACAGATCGAGAATGTATCAAAATAGGAGACGTTGTACAAGTTCATGATGGTACACCCCGACTGACTTGGAAACTAGCGGTAGTCGAAAGTTTATTTCGAGCACAAGACTAACACGTACGAGCCGCGAACATTCAGGCGGCATTAGGTAAGACAAACCGACCGATAACGAAACTTTATCCTCTTGAGGTAAGAGCAAAGACGGGTGATGATCGCGAGAATAAAGACAAAGATCACGGGAAACAAAGAGATCAAACGACCCAAGTGACTGATCATATCTGACGGCCACAACGGGTAGCCGCGGGAAAAGCAATGGAACAGTTTAGGAATTGGATTCAAGACCTTTGCCCCTGGAGGATGTCGAAAATGTCTTACATTGAGTAGTATACAAATAGGCTTATATTACATAAA